CGCCCCCGGGGTAAAAAAAAAAAAAAAAAGACCCATTTTAAGTGCACCTGTGTCCAGACTATGGGCATTAAGATATTTACATATTCTTAAAAAGCTGTAAAAGAAAGAAAAAAATAAGCCATCACTGACCTGCTTAACTGCTTGTACTGTGAAAGGACTAATTCTCAAAGATTACAACAAAGACTCTAAAGTGGTTTTTGACTGTGGCTTAGGAACACCAGCTGCGTGTTTACATTACAGGGCTGGCAGACTGCCAAGATTCTGGTACAATAGAACGTAATAAGAAAGTAGCTAAGATTTCTGTGCCTCTGTTGTAAGCTTTGAAGACACATTTCTCCACAATGCCTATAGCTAGAGACGTGAAGGGTGGCTTTTAAAAAAAGTGATTTTACTGTTTGTTCAGAACAGATATAAACGTTAGTGTGCATAGTGCATGGGAACAGGTTCACTTTACAGATTACCTGCCACAAGTTTGTATTCTGTTTTGTTACACTGTTTATAAGAAACAGGTGATTTCGCTGTGTGGCACCATCTTGTCAGACTCTCAGTCAAGTTGCAATATACCTTAGGTGAGTGATATGTGGTAACTCACTTGGATTACAAACCTGAAATGCCACCACATAGTGGAGGAACACAGCACAATATATCTCAGGAGAGGAATATGGGGTAACTGATTAGATTACAATATTAAAGTCCAGTATGTCCCCCTGCACTCCTCACAGCATCTCCGGCCCGAATCACAATAATGGTGCTTGCAGTGATACTCATGGATGGCGTCGTGCAAATCAAACAGCAAATGAACGGGAATCACCAAACACTACAATGATTAGATACACTTTTGTGGAAGGAAATCTGCACATTTTTGCCAGCTTTGACATTTACTGGCTTGCAACTTAAACACTAAATGCAGTTTAAGGAATTCGTCTGAATTTTTCCAAAATTTTTATAATCAAACCCCTATGCGAAACCTATAGCAGGCAGCTCAGAAGTAGACAGACCTGGTCAATGTGCTCTAGAATGGAGTAGAATTTCAAGTCTTTGTCCCACTTCTTCCTGTGTTCATCACTATACAGAAATGGAATTATTTTTTCCGGCACCTCCTCAATGATCCCTTCTCCGCGGTATCTGGGTTTTTACACAAAAAAGATGTGTATCAATAAGAGTGAACCTGTAACCAAAACTCATCTTATTTGTTACATTGACTTTGTGCCATATAGTTCTTTTTTTAGTGTACATACATCATTGACACGTGAATTCCTTCTGTTATGAGAAGGATACTGTGCTATGCAATGGTTCAGTAGAGGTTCCATTAGTCTTATTTCATCATAACCTTCTTGGCTATATTTTCTCGCTGGCCCCTAAGCCCTACAGCATAGAAGCCATTGTTTCTAGGGATGCACAGATGCAGTATCTCACAGAAGTGTGTACACCCCTCACATTTTTGTAAATATTTGATGATATCATGTCATGTGACGACACAGAAGAAATGACACTTTGCTACAATGTAAAGTAGTGAGTGTACAGATTGTATATCAGTGTACATTTGCTGCCCCCTCAAAATAACTCAACCCACAGCCATTAATGTCTAAACCGCTGGCAACAAAAGTGAGTACACCCCTAAGGGAAAATTTCCAAATTGGGCCCAATTAGCCATTTTCCTTCCCCCGTGTCATGTGACTCATTAATGTTACAAGGTCTCAGGTGTGAATGGGGAGCAAGTGTGTTAAATTTGGTGTTATCGCTCTCACTCTCTCATACTGGTCACTGGAGGTTCAACATGGCACCTCATGGCAAAGAACTCTCTGAGGATCTGAAAAAAAAGAATTGTTGCTCTACATAAAGATGGCCGAGGCTATAAGAAGATTGCCAAGACCCTGAAACTGAGCTGCAGCACGGTGGCCAAGACCATACAGCAGTTTAACGTGACAGGTTCCACTCAGAACAGGCATCGCCATGGTAGACTAAAGAAGTTGAGTGCACGTGCTCAGCGTCCTATCCAGAGGTTGTCTTTGGGAAATAGACGTATGAGTGCTGCCAGTGTTACTGCAGAGGTTGAAGGGGTGGGGGGTCAGCCTGTCAGTGCTCAGACCATACGCCGCACACTGCATCAAATTGGTCTGCATGGCTGTCGTCCCAGAAGAAAGCCTCTTCTAAAGATGATGCACAAGAAAGCCCGCAAACAGTTTGCTGAAGACAAGCAGACTAAGGACATGGATTACTGGAACCGTGTCCTGTGGTCTGATGAGACCAAGATAAACTTATTTGGTTTAGATGGTGTCAAGCGTGTCTTGACACCATCTGTCTTGCTAAAGAAGTCTTCCTAAAGAAGCTGAGGGTAAAGGTGATGGACTGGCCAGGCATGTCTCCAGACCTAAACCCTATTGAGCATTTGTGGGGAATCCTCAAACGGAAGGTGGAGGAGCACAAGGTCTCTAACTTCCACCAGCTCCGTGATGTCATCATGGAGGAGTGGAAGAGGACTCCAGTGGCAACCTGTGAAGCTCTGGTGAACTTCATGCCCAAGAGGGTTAAGGCAATGCTGGAAAATAATGGTGACTACACAAAATATTGAAACTTTGGGCTCAATTTGGAAATTTTCACTTAGGGGTGTACTCACTTTTGTTGCCAGCGGTTTAGACATTTATGGCTGTGTGTTGAGTTATTTTTAGGGGACAGCAAATGTACACTGATATACAAGCTGTACAATGACTACTTTACATTGTAGCAAGGTGTAATTTCTTCTGTGTCGTCACATGACATGATATCATCAAATATTTACAAAAATGTGAGGGGTGTACTCACTTCTGTGAGATACTGTGCCAAGGTCTCGTACTCGGTACAAGTACTGATACATTCCCAGCTACAAGACTAGACTAGAGAAAAACTCAAAAGTTAAGAGGCAGCTGTCATTTTTAAGGAGCATTGGCTATGGGACTCCTTAGAGAGAGAGAGAGAGGCAGAGATAGAGAGAGAGAGACACACAGAGAGAGAGAGAGAGGGAGACAGAGAGAGACAGAGAGAGAGAGAGGACAGAGAGAGAGAGAAAGAGAGAGAGAGAGAGAGACAGAGACAGAGAGAGGCAGAGAGAGAGAGAGACAGAGGCAGAGATAGATAGATAGAGAGAGAGAGAGAGAGAGAGAGAGAGGGAGACAGAGAGAGAGAGACAGAGAGAGAGAGAGAGAGAGAGAGAGAGAGAGAGAGAGAGAGAGAATTACACAAATATTAATTTTCACAAAGTCTGCTGCTTCAGTTTGTATGGTGGCAATTTGTATATACTCCAGAATGTTATGAAGAGTGATTAGATCAATTGCAATTAATTGCAAAGCCCCTCTTTGCCATGAAAATTAACTTAATCCCCAAAAAAACATTTCCACTGCATTTCAGCCCTGCCACAAAAGGACCAGCTGACATCATGTCAGTGACTCTCTCGTTAACACGGGTGTCAGTGTTGACGAGGACAAGGCTGGAGACCACTCTGTCATGCTGATTAGGTTAGAATAACAGAATAGAAGCTTTAGAAGGAGGGTGGTACTTGAAATCATTGTTCTACCTCTGTTAACCATGGTTACCTGCAAGGAAACACATGCAGTCATCTTTGCTTTGCACAAAGAGGTTCACAGGAAAGGATATTGCTGTTATTAAGATTGTACCTAAATCAAACATTTATCGGATCATCAAGAACTTCAAGGAGAGAGGTTCAATTGTTGCGAAGAAGGCTTCAGCGCGCCCAAGAAAGTGCAGCAAGCACCAGGAGTGTTTCCTAAAGTTGATTCAGCTGCGGGATCGGGGCACCACCAGTGCAGAGCTTGCTCGGGAATGGCAGCAGGCAGGTATGAGTGCATCTGCATGCACAGTGAGGCAAAGACTATTGACCTGGTGTCAAGAAGGGCAGCAAAGAATTCACTTCTCCCCAAGAAAAACATCAGGGACAGACTGATATTCTACAAAAGGTACAGGGATTAGACTGCTGAGCACTGAGGTAGTCATTTTCTCTGATGAATCCCCTTTACAATTGTTTGGGGCATCCAGAAAATACCTTGTCCGGCGAAGAAAAGGTGAGCGCTACCATCAGTCCTGTGTCATGCCAACAGTAAAGCATCCTGAGACCATTCATGTGTGGGGTTGCTTCTCAGCTCACTCACAATTTTGCCTAAGAAAACAGCCATGAATAAAGAATGGTACAAAAACATCCTCAAAGAGCAACTTCTCCCAACCATTCAAGAACAGATTGGTGGTGAACAATGCCTTTTCCAGCACGATGGAGCACCTTGCCATAAGGCAAAAGTGGTAACTAAGTAGTTTGGGGAACAAAACATCGAAATGTTGTGTCCATGGCCAGCAAACTCCCCAGACCTTAATCCCATTGAGAACTTGTGATCAATCCTCAAGAGGCGGGTGAACAAAACTCCCAAATTCTGACAAACCCCAAGCATTATGTAAGAATGGACTTCCATCAGTCAGGATGTGGCCCAGAAGTTGATTGACAGCATGGCAGGGTGAATTGCAGAGGTCTTGAATAAGAAGGGTCAACACTGCACATATTGACTCTTTGCATAAACCTAATGTACTTGCCAATAAAAGCCTTTGACACTAATGAAATGCTTGTAATTATACTTCAGTATACCAGAGTAACATTGGAAGATCTTAAAACACTGAAGCAGCAGACTTTGGGAAAATTAATATTTGTGTCATTCTCAAAACTTTTGGCCAGGACTGTACACTGTATATTAGGGATGCACCGATACCATTTTTTCCAAACCAAATACAAGTACTGATACTTGTCCAAGTACTCACAGATACAATTACTGATACATTTTTGTTCAGTGTCAAGTGACAGTTTTTCTAAAACTATACAGACTAATGATTTCAGGACAGTGGTGGGGCACCAGGGCCTAGTCGCAGCTGCAACCACTGTTACCCTGATAGTTCTTGTGAAAAAGGTATTTGTGCATCCCTAATTGTTTCCATACACTGCACTGATAATGATAAACAAGTCTGCAACAGCTGTATGCACTTTGGAATAAATGGCTCTTCATAATTATGTATGTGTGCTATACAAAGGTTACCATTAGTCCCCGTTTCCCAGGGACAGACATCTCAAAATGGGGACTTCCCCAGAAACAAACACCAGCGCCAGTGAACTGAAATCATATACAGCCAGTTTTGAACATGCTGTGATGTCTGCCTCTAGCACTCTATGTCGCTTACTACTAACCCCTAAACCCTGTGTCATCTACTACTGACCCCTGAACCCTATGTTACTACTGAACCCTGTGTTACTTACTACTGAGCTTTGAACTCTGCGTTACTTGCTACTGTCCCCTACTCACTACCCCTATACTCCATGTGTTACCTACTGATGACCCCTGTACTCCAATCCAGAAGTCTGTGACCAATTGTTGCAGGGCATGCTAAAAATGAGCTCATGATTTTGTAAGTACAGGGGCATGGTTTTATGGATGTGTTTACAAATGGACGTTGTCAGTAGGGTGTCTCCGGATTTCATTTTGAAAATCTGTTAACCTTATGCTATAATCAGTGGTTCTGGATGCACAGTTTACCATGGGCAAAATTGAATGATGTGTAGCTCCACCCACAATCCTGGAATGGATTATTTACCTAATTTTGGGGATATACGATAGAATGAGATACATGCACTGGTTCAGTAGAGGGCTTTTTTGTTTCCTTTAGTCCCTCCTCACCATAACCTAACGGTATACTTCCTCATTTCTTTTGCTAGGAAATAAAATAATTCCTATATGGAATAACATCAGGGTTTATCACAGCAATGAAAAGAACTCTTCTCTCTAACCCATTTTTTGATTGATCCATATCTCCAATGACAAATTATTGGTGGGGGTACCCTAAGAGTGCTCTGAGGAAGCTGGCACCTTCCCTACAGTTCGTCACTTGTGGCGTGGATCAAACATGTGTTGGAGATGTGGCCTGAGCTCAGAAATGAAACTTTCTTGGTTGTACACAATTCATAAGCCATGAACAGGATTATAGGGAGGATATATTTGTATCCAGTTCCAGTTGTGAGTTTTTTTATTGAATGTATTTATTTTATAATGTCACCACCAGTTACTTTTGCATACCCTAAATAGTGTTGATTTTCATTTACTGACCTATGTACCTAGTGTGTTACAGTCACAATCCCCTGATCTCTACTACCCCCCAAGATTCCCACCAAAGAGCTTTGGACACCCCTGTCATGTACATGTAAAAGTGTATCTAAGCCTAAAATTTTAGTATTCTTTAGTAGTCTTTTTTTTTTTGTATTCCTTAAAATGATGACAGATTAGGGTCCCTGTCAGGTTTTTATAGAAGTCGTGGAGATTCACTCTATTAGTCCCAGAGGCTACCGTTACTGGGACTGAAAGAAAAGGATATCCAAAATTTGGAACAGGAATAGTTTAATTCCTACTGTAGAAGCAGGAATAACAACCCCCCCCCCCCCCCCCCCCCCACCACCAATATTCCACACT